AAAAAAAAAGACAGTGAGTGGCCCAGGAGGAGCCCATGTCCACCATGTTCACAGACTACCACTCAGCTCAAAAAAACCTTCTGTGCTATTTTAGGGGATGACACCTCTCTTTGCCTTTCTGTTGTTTTGGTTCGGGCTGTTAGAGCCCTGGCCAGGGAAATACAGCAGCCCAGGAGTGGAAACCATTACCCAGGAAAACAAGAGGCGTCTACGGGAGCGAAGATTTTCCACAGACACCCTTGGGGGATAAGAACTGGCCACTCACTGTTTACTTCTTGTTCGTGTTCTTTTTCTACCTCTGATTTTAAAATGTCTAACTGATGCCAAATGGTATGAGGAAGAAAGAAAAAAATATGTGGGGAAAAATAAAAATACATGATGAGACACACTGTTTATGCTGTTTCACAGTCTCCACATGGGTATGCATACGTCCAGATGCATACACGCACACTTAAAATTACAAAGTAATCTAATATATAAATTAAAATTAAATTTTAGATTAAAATTACAAAATAATCTAATATGTAAAATAATATATTAAACCAGGGCTGTTTGGAGGGATATTTCAATATCATGGTAACACTGCAAAGAATGCCCTTGGCCCCATATCTTTGTGCTTTTTCAGATTTTTTTTTTTTTTTTACCATAAGCCCTAGGAGCAATAGAGCTGAATGGGAAAGTGTGTGCATGTGTTCAATTTTTAAGAGGTTTTCAAATTGTCCTTCAGAAAGCTAGCCAGTGTGTCTCTCTGCGCATTTCGGCACTCTCAGCCCCCAGTGTAGGGTCTGGTCAGGGCTTCTCACGTTTCTCCCTCTAATCATCCATACTTTTCTGAGGGCACTGGCAGGAAAGTTCAGAATCTTTCCTTATGATAATTGGTCATTTTTCCCCTTCTTCTCCTCACTTCCTTCCTCCTCTCTTCCTTTCTTTCCATGGTCTCTGTCCTTTGGCCATTTTTTTTTTTTAATTGAGGAGGAGGAGTTTCCACTTTTATTTTAACCATTTGACTTGGTGCTAACCTTTTGCTGGTCCCCAGGGAGCAGCTGGCTTCCTTGGCTGACCTCCGTCTTCACTCACTGTCTTTCCTGGCGCCACAGGAAGGCGTGGAGATTCACGTAGTCACGTCTGCAGCCTTTCAAGTTCTCCTCCCGAGTCTTCTGTCCCACTTAGAAAGCCCACCCCATCCAGACAGCAGAAAAAGGTGCGCTTCTATTGTCTTCAATACATTGTAAAGTTTTTTTTTTTTTAAAAAATGTTTATTTAGGTCTCTGATATCTCTAGAATATTGTGTTGAAATACACCTAAAATTTTCTTTGTTAAAGGAAAATTTATTTATTTTGAAAGTCAGAATTAGACACATACACACACACACACACACACACACACACAGGTCTTCCATGTGCTGGTTCACTCCCCAGATGACAGCAATGGGCAGGGCTGCACCAGGCCAAAACCAAGAGCCAGGAGCTTCATCTGCGTCTCCCATGTGGGTGGCAGGGATCCAAGCACTTGGGCCATCTTCCACCGCTTTCCCAGGTCACCAGCAGGGAACCGGATCAGAAGTGGAGCAGCCGGGACACGAACCAGCGCCCATATGGGATGCCGGTGCTGTAGCAGAGGCTTAACCTTCTACGCCACTGTGCCGGCCCCATAAGTAGAATTTTTTCAAATCTTCCTTTCTTCCTTTGAGATCTTCCACTTGTTAAATCTTTCTGAACAGCAGTGAAGGGTCCGAGATTTCTCTCCTCTGCAAGCAAACAAGGTGGCCGGGTGCAGGGTCGTGGGTGCCGGGAGAACACAGGGTGCAGCAGGCTGCGGAAACCTCAGGTTCCCGTGGGTTTCCTCGCTGTGTGCAATACACGTGGTGTGTGGCACCGTGCGGGGCTTTCTGTCACAGCTGACGCACTCCAAGTGAGGAAATCCTAATGAGTGATCAGGGCCAGCTTCCCTGAGCTAACTGATGGCGACCGAAAAGAGTAAATCAAGGGGCGGTGCTGCGGCTCACTAGGCTAATCCTTCGCCTTGTGGCACCGGCACAAGGGGTTCTAGTCCCGGTCGGGGCGCTGGATTCGGTCCTGGTTGCCCCTCTTCCAGGCCAGCTCTCTGCTGTGGCCAGGGAGTGCAGTGGAGGATGGCCCAAGTGCTTGGGCCCTGCACCCCATGGGAGACCAGGAGAAGCACCTGGCTCCTGGCTTCGGATCAGCACGATGCGCCAGCCGCAGCTACTGGCTGCGGTGGCCATTGGAGGGTGAACCAACGGCAAAAAAAGGAAGACCTTTCTCTCTGTCTCTCTCTCTCACTGTCCACTCTGTCTGTCAAATAAATAAATAAATAAATAAATAAAAAAGAGTAAATCATAGGAGGAACAAAGCATTCCAAGCAAACAAAACTATATGTGCAAAGGCCCTGTGGTGGGTAGAAATGTGACAACTACAATTAACTAAAAAATCAGCCAGTATACTGATGCTATCTTCTCTGGCTAACTGCACTGGAGAGAGTTCATCTGTTTATTTTCCCTACTGTGAATGACCCATTTGTTCTGTTTAAATGCTTATAGATGTTTTTTCCTTTGCCTTTAATTGAATGAATTTATCGTTCATTCTTAAATTTTCTTAAGACACTGAGAGCCTGTTTGTTCTGCATCTTACCACAAGAGGACTTCAAAAAGTTCATGGAAACTGCATGGATTTCAAAATTCCTTCCACCAGAATAAACTTATCTTTGAATTCCATTTTTTCCATGAATTTCTATTTGAGGCACCCTGGTATACACTTGGATACTCTCATTTTCTATTCATTTTTCACGATTCTTTCTACATCATCTACCGTCCCTAACTGCTCCTCCCTAAAAATATTCCCTCTGTGTTGGTACCACTCTGCTCCCAGGTCGAGACCCTTCCTTTATCTTCATATCTACCTTTGCTCTTTTCCTGGTTTTGTTCGTCTTGGTTTTAGAAAGGCAGATTTGGGGCCACTTGCCCTTTTGCAACATCTTTTCTCAGGTGTCAGGGTCTATTATCGAAAAAAAAATTTTTATTGTCCTTCCCCTCCTCCACCCCCCAATGCTTTAAAATTAGTCCAAGGAGACATACAAGGAATCCCCCTTGGTTAAGCGGACTCCTTCTCCAGGGCTGCCTCTGTGGCGTAGTAGGCTAAGTCGCCATCTGCAGTGCCGGCATCCCATATGGGCATCAGTTCCAGTCCCAGCTGCTCTTCTTCCAATCCAGCTCTCTGCTGTGGCCTGGGAAAGCAGCAGAAGATGCCTCAAGTGCTTGGGCCCCTGCACCCACCTAGGAGACCTGGAAGAAGCTCCTGGGTCCTGGCTTTGGCCCCACACAGTCCTGGCTGTTGTGGCCACTTGGGAAATCAACCAGCAGATGGAAGATCTCTCTCTCTCTCTCTCTCTGCAACTCTGGCTTTCAAAGAAATTTTTAAAAACATCTGGAAAAGACAGTTTAAAAATGGCTTTTTTTTCTAGGGATTTTTTCTAACATCTTGAGAAATTTGGGGGAAGTTCAATGGATCCAAATGGTAGACATTCCCAGGATACTTACCGATTGCACTCCCTTTACTCTACAGAGCTCATTAACAAGAAAAGCCGGGTGAGGCGGTGTCTCCACCGGGATCACAGCTCCCCAGTAAAGTGATTCACCTTCCGGGACAGGAGGCTCATTCTTGAAAGAGCAGGAGGACAGCCAGTGCCTTCCCGGGGCGTGGGCTGTTTCTTGCTGATTTTGATCTTGAGGGTAGCGGATGTGTGGCTGACCTCTTCGCTAAAGACAAAGTAGACAGGTAAAGAACCACATCCTAGACCAGAAAGATGCGTGTTTCCGAAATCTGTAAAAATAAGCCGACAAAGCAGACGTAGAAGCTGGATACTGGGAGGTCAAAAATGAAACTCACACCAGCTTGCACACAGCACAAATCTTGTTGAATAAATTTTGGTGGTTTTTCAATGTTTTGGGAATTCTTTTTTGGGGAAAGCGAGTATCTTGGGTATTTGTTGGCACCATGCAGTGTAGACACTAAATCGAGAAATAGAATGATTTTTTTTTTAGTTCGTGCTCACTGATCAGAATTCATTGATTTTTTTTTTTTAAAAAGATTTGTTTTATTTACTTGCAAAACAGAGTTACAGAGAGAGGTAGAGACAGAGAGAGAGAGAGAGAGAGAGAGAGGTCTTCCATCTGCTGGTTCACTCCCTAGATGTCCACAAAGGCCAGAGCTGTGCCAATCTAAAGCCAGCCAGGTCTCCCATGCGGATGCAAGGGCCCAAGCACTTGGGCCATCCTCTGCTGCTTTCCCAGGCTATAGCAGAGAGCTGGATCGGAAGTTGAGCAGCTGGGACTTGAACTGGCGCCCAAATGGGATGGTGGTGCTGCAGACTGTGACTTTAATATGCTGTGTCACAGAGCTGGCCCCTAATTCATTGATTCTAAAATGCCTTTCATTCTATATAAAATCACTGCTATGCACTAGTAAGAAAATAAACTCTCCCCATGGAATTCAGACATTCTTAAAGTACTGTAGGTACAGCCTGGTTTCAGAGACGTTAAAGTGTGAAAAAATACATACCTTAGGATCAATAAGACAAGGTATTTTTCTTAAGCTCACAAAAAAACAGGGGAAATCAACATTCTCAACAGTTTGTCCATTCATTTGAAATGTGTAACAGTGCATTCAAGAAATAAATTTATACTATATGTGGCATTTGTAAGAACAACCAAGATTATTCATAGAACACTTATATGCAGAGATTTAAGGAAATTAAATCTATAAAGGATGCCCAGGATTTCTCCATTAGGTTTTTAAGTACTTTCCCTACTTTCTGTCTTCCTTCCTGGTCGAAGCACTCATTCCATAAGTCCCTGCAGCACTGGCCAGACCAGGCTGCAAGGGCCGCCCCCTGGCCTTTCCCCATTCCCTCTGCAGCTTTTGAGAGAAGCCTCTCATTGTCACCGGGAGGTCCCACTCACCTTTAGAATTGAATGCTATCACCCAACGGCCGCCCCTTCACTCCACTCCTCCGAAGATGGCAGGGCGTAACCTCTACTCTGCCTCAGCGGGTTCTTTACCAGCAGTGAAGATCCCAAAGGAAAGCGGGCGCAGACCTGGGTTCAAGGTATGGCCCCACCATCTCCTTCTGCGCAGTGCTGCCTGGCTGGGGCAAGGTGCATGGGCAGAACATCATGGCAAAACACCATCAAAGGCTGGCCACTCAGCAAGGACAGCAAGAGAAATCAGTTGCTCTCAGTGAGGCATGAGACAGACAAGCTCCGTGTTCCACACAGCACACCATGCATGCTGTCGTGTGCATCTTTACAAGCGGAGAAAGCAAATGACAGCAGATGAGGAAAGCTGTTCGGTGAGCAAACGTGAGGATCGCGGCTAAACTACACATTTTTTTAAAAAGATTTATTTATTTATTTGAAAGTCAGAGTTACACAGAGAGAGAAGGAGAGGCAGAGAACGAGAGCGAGAGAGAGAGAGAGAGGTCTTCCATCTGCTGGTTCACTCCTCAATTGGCCGCAACAGCCGGAGCTGTGCCAATCTGGAGCCAGGAGCCAGGAGCTTCTTCCCTGTCTCCCACACAGCTGCAGGGGCCCAAGGACTTGGGCCATCTTCTACTGCTTTCCCAGGCCACAGCAGAGAGCTGGATCAGAAGTGGAGCAGCTGGGACTCAAATCAACGCCTATATGGGATGCTGGCACTACAGGCAGCAGCTTTACCTGCTATGCCACAGCACCAGCCCCATAAACATACATTATTAAACCTTGCCTCTGGATTCGTGTTTCGGACAGTGACTGTTTCAAACTGGACGGGCCTCAGCCATTCTCCAAGACTCACCCGCCCTGGATTTCAGCAGAAGCAGAGTAGTTCCGCAGACATTGACACTAACAACTCGAGCAGCCCAGGGTCAAAGGACACGGACGACTGTTCCCAAAGACAGCCTCATTACAGGCGCTCAGAATGCAGAGCCGGGGCGCTCCTGCAGAGTTTCCCGCTCTTAAACAGTGCCGATGTCAAGTTTGGCTACAAGGAGACAAATCGGGCAAAATTTAAGCCCGGTGACCCTTTTAAGAACTACTAATTGGGCTGGCGCCGTGGCTCACTTGGTTAATCCTCCGCCTGCGGCGCTGGCATCCCATATCAGCACCGGTTCTAGTCCCGGCTGGCTGCTCCTCTTCCAATCCAGCTCTCTGCTGTGGCCCGAGAAGGCAGAGGAGGATGGCCCAAGTGCTTGGGTCCCTGCACCCGCATCGGAGACCAGGAGGAAGCACCTGGCTCCTGGCTTCGGATTGGCACAGCGCGCCGGCCGTGAACCAACAGAAGGAAGACCTCTCTCTCTCTCTCTCTCACTGTCTATAACTCTACCTGTCAAAAAAAAAAAAAAAAACTACTAATGATTTAGAGAGGGTGGGAGTGGAGAATACACCCCCCGATACAACCACAATCACACAAACCAACCCAAACCCTAGGGAGAGCTCCTTCTCCAAGCTCCTGGGGAGACTACCGGAGAAGAAAGGATATTCAACTGGTTCCCCGCGAGCCTTTCGGGCATTAGAAAATGAACTTCAAAAGTTTTCCTTTGTTTCTTTTTCTTATAAGAAAAACTTAGGTTTCCATCTTGAGACCTGAATCCTGAAACCAGAAGGCAAATGGGCAACTAGCTCCCATATATTTAGGGAAACGTATGGAAATCATTTCAAGTCAGCAGAAAGAGCTTCTGGAAGAGTTGGTGACGGCTTCAGCCTTCATCCCTTTGGTTCTCCGTAGCTCTTCCAAATACTGGAAAATAAAAACAGCAGGTGGGGAAGTTCCTTGAGGTCATTGGTTTTAGTAAAAGCAGCTTTTGCTCAGCCATCGCACAAGGTCAAGTCTTCTGTCGCTGGTTGTTTTGCTAACAGAGTGGGCCTCCTTTATCTTATGGGCATGCCAGGTTTTGCATGGGGGTCTCTGACAGGTGCCACCTGCTGTGGTACCTGTGCAGATGCTAGATTCCGGGAATGACTTCTGCAGGGCTGCAGCAGGGCAGCCCTCGGGTTCACAGAACCAGGGAGCAAGTCCAGGACTGGAGAAACCTAACAGAACACGTTTCTCTCCTATTGGGCCTTTTTCCTACTCCCCTAGGGGCTGTGACCCAAGAATGAAAATTACCAACACACACAGGGTTTCTGGGCCAGGAAGGATGGAAATTCACACCATGGAAGGAACCCAAGTTTGCAATTTTCCTGTCGCCCACAAGGGGCAGTTTTCAGCTCTCCTAACCCTCACAGGCTCCTCACATGGCGACAGAAGCATTTGGGTTGGTCGGTTGCCCATACAGGCTCCGCACAAAGCAAGCAGGGCTATGCCCACTGCCTCACAGTTTCTTTTCTGGGGAGAACAGCCCACAGCTCTTTTCTGAATGCACTTCCTATATATTTAGGAAAATGAATGGAAATTATTTCAGGCCATCAGCTCCCAGGCAGCTGCCCAAGCCGTGGGCTTAGTGTTGTAGAAGAGCAGCTCCATCCCAGGTGCCGGTCCGCACCGACTCCCCACCCATCCATGATGACGAGAGGAAAATAAGAATAATTTGAGTCTTCAGAAAGCTAAAATGATTCCCCTTAAAGGACTGCCCTCTGTTCGGAAACACCTGTTTCCTGTTATTTTGGCGATAAGATGTTCCTTGTTGGGGCAGGCTCTGAGACTCACAGCTCAGATGCCTCTGTCCCTGTTGGAGTGCTTGGGTTCAATTCCTCACTCTGCCTCTTGACTCCAGTTTCCTGCTAATGCAGACTCTGGGAGGCAGCTAGGATGGTTCAAGTAATAGCTTCCTGCCACCTACATGGGAGACCTGAATTGTATTCCCAGCTCCTGGCTTTGGCCTAACCCAGCTCTAGCATTTGGGAAGTGAACCAGTAGATGGGAGATCTCTCTCTTTCTTTCTTTTCTTTAATTTTATTTTAATTTTTTTCTCTTTCTTTCTTTCTCTCTCTCTCTCTCTCTCTCCCTTCTCTTTTTCTCTTTCTGTCTGCCTTTCAAATAAACTTAAAAAATAGCATCATCTAAACTTTTTTTCTTGGTTTAGCTAAATGTTGTAGGCTGATATGGTGTGGTAGCTTTAAGAAGTAGCCTGGCCGGCGCCGTGGCTCAATAGGCTAATCCTCCACCTTGCGGCGCCAGCACACCGGGTTCTAGTCCCGGTCAGGGCACCGGATTCTATCCCGGTTGCCCCTCTTTCAGGCCAGCTCTCTGCTATGGCCCGGGAAGGCAGTGGAGGATGGCCCAAGTGCTTGGGCCCTGCACCCCATGGGAGACCAGGAGAAGCACCTGGCTCCTGGCTTTGGATCAGCGCGATGCACTGGCCGCGGTGGCATTTGGAGGGTGAACCAATGACAAAAAAGGAAGACCTTTCTCTCTGTCTCTCTCTCTCACTCCACTCTGCCTGTCAAAAAAAAAAAAAAGTATCCTTAGTTGGCAAAAAAAACCCTGGCACCCCATTTTACCATTAATGAAAGTACTGTGATGGTGGAGATGCCAGTAAGGAATGTACCGTTTCACTCCATTTACCCAGTGACCAATAATGTGACAATTTTAACTCTTTGGGACATAGCTGGAGAGGCAGAAGTTGTTAAAAAACATCCTGATACAGCAAGATAAGATATCACATGGGTGGTGGGTGGCTGGGCATTGTGGCGCACCCCATTAAGCCACCTCTCAGGACACCCGTGTCCCATATCAGAGTGCCCATGGGAGCCCTGGTGCCTCTGCTCCCTATCATGCTTCCTACGCATGTGCCCAGGAAGGCACAGATGATGACCCAACTATTTGGGTTCCTGCCTCGACTGAGTTCCTGGCTCCTGGTTTTGTCCTGGTCCAGCCTCAGCTGTTGTGGGCAACTAGGGCGTGAAACAGCAGATCCAAGATCTTCTCCGTCTCCTGCTGCTCTCTTTGTCACTCTGCCTTTCAAATAAACATTCTTAAAAAAAAATCACTGACCTCAAAGATTCTGTATTTTACTATATGAAAACGCTGCCGGAGCCAGCGTTGTGGCATAGTAGGTAAACCTCTGACGCTGGTATCCCACAAGGGCACTGGTTTGTGTCCCGGCCGCTCCATTTCCAATATAGCTCCCTGCTAATGGCCTGGGAACAGCAGTGGAAGATGGTTCCTGCCACCCAAGTAGGAGACCTGGAAGAAGCTCCTGGCTCCTGGCTTTGGCCTGGCCGAGCCCTGGCCATTGCAGCCATCTGGGGAGTGAACCAGCAGATGCAAGATCTCTCGCTGCCTCTCTGTCTCTCCCTCTTTCTCTGTAACTCCTTCAAAATAAATGAATCTTTGAAAAACAACAACTCTGCCAAGCCCTGCACCAAAGTCCATTGGCCTTGATTATAAACATAGACCTTGCAAGCTCAATTATAGCCATTTCCAGCCTTACACTTGAAGGGGAAGGAGATTGGGGGAGAAGGCCGCACATACAGCTGCCCTGAGCTGCTTTGTCACCCAGCTCAGGGCACAGGGAGGGACTCTCTCTGGCCTGGGGATGGACGCAGGCCACTGCCTTCAAGACCCAAGCCAGTATATAGAGGCTGTAGCATGTAACTGCATCTCCAGGTCTGCAGGCTAAGAGGAGTGAATTGTAGGCAGAAAAGAAAGCATTCAACTGGCAGTCGGAGGTCAGTCCTCCGAAGTTCATAGGTCATAGGCTTACAGTTCATAGGTCAAATACAGTCACCATTGTATTTTCTGCCGTGAACCCTACTCCAGTTGCCCCAAATGTGCCTCTTCATTATCAGGCAACATTTCTCTCTCAGTTTGCAGTGTCTGCTGTTAATAGTAAGTATTACAGGTTGTGGAGGGGAGGGCGGTTGCCAGAGCAAGTTTCCTGGGTTCTTTTCCTCAGCTCAGTATAGAAATAAAAAGCCAGGAAGCAATTTGCAAAGCAGCAGAAACTTTTATTTGATAAAAAAAAGTGTCTGGTCCAAGAAGAGAGTAGGCAGAGTGCCCTAATGGACCCTGGCTTGAGAAAGTGCCCAGGGTTTTTAAGGCATTCTATGGGGGTGCCCATCAGACGGGGGGTTTCACGTACTGTATGTTGATGGCTTAGGGCTCATGAAGATTGTGGGGGTCTCTTGG